TTTTTTGTACTCATCTTTCTTGGGAAGCCTTTCCAGATATTTGGACAGATTTGAGTATTTTGATCTAAGCTGTATGTGTTTTAGGAGGCATCTTAAAAGGATTATATACCCAAAGGATTATAAATCATCCTATTGTAAAGACACTATTCATTGTGGCACTGTTTACAATAGCAAAGACTTGGCACCGACCAAAATGCACATCAATGATAGACTAGATAAAGAAAATGTGGCACATATATACCATGGAATATTATGCAGATATAAAAAAGGATGAATTCATGCCCATTGCAGGGACATGAATGAATCTGGAAACCGTCATTCTCAGCAAACTGACACAAGAATAGAAAACCAAACACTGGGCCGGGTGCGGTGGCTCAAGCCTGTAATCCCAGCACTTTGGGAGGCCGAGGCGGGTGGATCACGAGGTCAAGAGATTGAGACCATCCTGGTAAACATGGCGAAACCCCATCTCTACTAAAAAAAATCCAAGAAAATTAGCTGGGCATGGTGGCACGTGCCTGTAATCCCAGCTACTCAGGAGGCTGAGGCAGGAGAATTGCCTGAACCCAGGAGGCGGAGGTTGTGGTGAGCCAAGATCTCACCATTGCACTCCAGCCTGGGTAACAAGAGCGAAACTCCGTCTCAAAAAAAAAAAAAAAAAAAGAAAACCAAACACTGAATGTTCTCACTCATAAGTGAGTGTTGAACAATGAGAACACACGGACACAGGGAGTAGAACATCACACACTGGGGCCTGTTGTGGGTGGGGGGTGCATCTAGGAGAGGAATAGCAGCGGGTAGGGGGATTAGGGAGGGATAACATTAGGAGAAATACCTCATATAGGTGATGGGGGGATGGATGCAGCAAACCACCATGGCATGTGTATACCTATGTAACAATAGTACACAATCTGCACATGTACCCCAGAACTGAAACTATAATTTAAAAAAAAAACCATGATTTTCTAAATTAAAAAAAAAGAAAGTTTCAGTCTGTATTAGTCAGGGTTTTCTTTTCTTCTATTTTTCTGGGGGGAGGTGCTTAAAAAACAAACTTCATTCCAAATTATCAAAAAAAAAGTGTTAACTCTGAAATATTTAACAGATTTCATTTAAACTCATATGGTCATAAAACTCAAACTGTCAAACAAAAATAGCGTTGTGTGTTTAACCACTTTAAATAGTGAAACTTTAAGAGAAACATTTAGAGGCTCCCACAGAATTTGAGAGCTATTAGGCAACACATATTTAATATTAAGCAAAGACAGCATTAAAAACTAAAAATCCCCAAATTTCGAGAGAATGTTCAAGTCTTTGATATATATTTTCACATGAGAACAGAAATATTTTAATTTAAAAGAAACCAAGTCTGAGTGATTATCCTTTCTTCAAGGGTAATCTCCTGTCCACCCTTCCTTTTATGACTGCATATCCCTCACTTTACTTCATCTACACTGAACCAGTGTTAGTTCAACATGATTAGCTTCACTCAAAGCCCTCTAGATCCCATTTCATATATCCCATCAACCACCATTATTCCCTTACATGTTTGCATAGCCTCATAGTGAGCATTATATTGTAATTGAGCTTGGGAATTTCAGGTACCCAAAGGTAATCATATACACACACGATTCTGTTTTATTGTACAGTTCACAATATAGCCGGTGATTATACAGCCAACCATCTTAAGATGAATATCGACTATTTGGACAAAAACATTGATTTTGTCCCCAACCACACGCAAATGAGACAAGAAGGACACACATATTTGCCACTATTTAAAGGTTGTGTTTACTCTGTGGTGCAGTTCTGAGGGCTCTTACCACTCTAAGTGTGTTAAATACAGAATTCATAACATTTCTGGTGGTATCAGACATGAAGTATAAGACACAAGACCGTAAGTGTCCTGCGCTCATGAGCCATTTGTGTCACATAAGTAACAAAAAGTCCACTTTTAAAGCCTTTCAGATATTCAATCATGTTTGCCTTTTCAACTTTTTCTTTTTTTTGAGACGGAGCCTTGCTCTGTAGCCCAGGCTGGAGTGTAGTGGCACTGGCATGATCTTGGTTCACTGCAACCTCTGCCTCCCAGGTTCAAGCTTCTCCTGCCCCAGCCTTCCGAGTAGCTGGGATAACAGGTGTGTGCCACACGTCCAGCTAATTTTTTGTGTTTTTAGTAGAGATGGGGTTTTACCGTGTTGGTCAGGATGGTCTCGAACTTCTGACCTCATGTAATCCGCCCACCTCAGCCTCCCAAAGTGCTGGGATTACAAGCGTGAGCCACCGCACCTGGCCTGCCTTTTCAAAATTATTACCACGCTAGTTCACACTGAAGGTAAAAACAATAGTTAGAATCCATTATTAACAACACATTTTGACTTCGAGTTCAGACCAAGCTGTTGGTTATAAGTTCTGTTGAATTTTTTTTTTTTTTTTTTTTTTTTTGAGACGGAGTTTCACTCTTGTTACCCAGGCTGGAGTGCAATGGCACGATCTCGGCTCACCGTAACCTCCGCCTCCTGGGTTCAGGCAATTCTCCTGCCTCAGCCTCCTGAGTAGCTGGGATTACAGGCACGCGCCACCATGCCCAGCTAATTTTTTTTGTATTTTTAGTAGAGACGGGGTTTCACCATGTTGACCAGGTTGGTCTCGATCTCTCGACCTTGTGATCCACCCGCCTCGGCCTCCCAAAGTGCTGGGATTACAGGCTTGAGCCACCGCGCCCGGCCGAATTTTTTAAATCAAATTTAAGAAGTCTATAGGACAACATAAAACCATCCCTGGTAATGTATTTGCAATTTGGTCTTCAAAAGCTGCAAAGAGTGACAAAAAAAAAAAAGTACAGTTAAAACCATTAAAATATTTATTAATAATTGTTTTTAAATGCCGCTTGAGACAGCAGAAACCAAGTATTTTCCTTAGAATTCTCACTTAGCTTGTATTTCACAAAAGTGCTTTAGAACTCAGATTTCTACCACCTGTATGGAGTATAAAGACAAAAGGAAGCCCAACAAAACCTAAGGCCCAGTGGTATCTATTCCCAGGGTCAAGGTATAACACCAGGCTAACCCACCTGCCCTGTGCTGAGTAGCTGGACATGCCTGTGAGTGCTCAGAGTCACACATACAAATGAGGGGGTCAGGCACCAAGGTGCCTTTATTCATTAATTTCTCAAATGCAACTCCCCTCAAATTCTGACTCTAATAGGCCAAAGAAGGCTACTCATATTTATTTGGTGCCAAATTATTATTATTTTTTAAATCCTTACAGCTGCACCTTGAAAAGTAAACTACAATATCCAGCACAATATTGTCAGACAGAGCTGCTGTATGGCTATTTACCTTCATTACTGCCTGGCTAATGTTTAATATGCTTCATCCTTTACAGCTGGAAGAAGGATGTTCACTGTATTTAACCAGTCATACTGCATTCAGAGGTAAATAGCTTTTATGGACTATTTGCCCAGAAACTTTAAGTAAACTACCAAGTGGATTTATTTGGGTTAGTATGTGCACATATTGACATGCAATTATCCAGAAAGAAGAAAAACCGGCCAACAGGAAACCTACTGTCATGTCAGATGCTGGAAATCAATCTTTATGTTGTATTTACAGAAAGGGTTTTAAGATTCATAATCCACTTTTTCAGTCAGTCTCTTATATTTCATTAGTCAATTGGAAGTGGCAGATGAGTCATTTTGCTTTATCTGGAAAAAGTATTTTCATATTTACAATTTCTTTGACAAAGAAGTTTTCAACTGTTAAGGGATGAGAATGCTATTTGGCTATTACCTACTTTTAGAATTCAAACTAACCCTTCAAATGTCTTTATTAGATCATATGCTTTCAAACTGTCTTATTGTTTTACTGACACAATGGTAAAACTGGGTTCCCAAAATGTCAAAACCCTAATGGAGTCTCTGTTTCCAAGAGTAAAATAAAAGACAGCCAACACTGTGGGGTGAAAACTATCCTGAGCCTTTTCCCCCCCTGTCTGTAACATTTAGAAACTAAGGGGGAAAAAGTGGGATTGCATTAATAGACTTCTAAGACAAAATGTTATGGAAGTGTTTATTTTTTAAAAGGAGAGTTTTAAGAGAACTGGATGCTTGAAAATGAACAACTCCTCCAAGGGGAAAAGTAACCACAGACCTTTGCTGAGATGGCACCAATAATTCAAAGAAACCAAGCTAAACAGAATTTTATCTATATACAATTAATATGAAAACTTCTTAACAGAATGGAACACCCATAACAAAATTTAAGCCCCTTCATCTTTTGGCAATGAAATAAGTGAAATTAACATAAGGATCTTTTGGAAGGGTTGAAGGCCACAGTCAGAATCAAACAGAAAACTTTCAAACCTAGAAAGCAAAATGAGAGCTTTCATAGCTCCTTGATGTACCCCATCTAAATAGAAATATTATAATGACTATCCAATAGGTGCTTAGTTTCAAAACTAATAGAAGCAATTTATCATTAAAAGCCTAAACCTAATAAGCTGCTTTTCTTCTCTGTTCTGCCCCTTTCTCATATGCTTGAGCTTCATGAAGACTATCCTCTGCAGCTGTTCCTGAGGGCAGAGAAGCAAGCAATGGAATAACAAAGTAAGCCTGAGAAGCCCCTCGCCCCTGAGGACCTTCTCTCTGGCCGGTCACAGCCACTTATGTTTCAGTGCAGAAGATTTCAAGAATGGTTTGAGAAAAAGAATACCATCTGTCAAAGGCCATCAGATGGACAGCTATTTGCCAGGCAATTAGCCTAAAGCTCTTAGGGGATGATAAAAAACAAAACAAACACCAGCAACAAAACCCTTATATTTTCCTATTGGAACCTTTTACTCTGTTTTGTTGATGCTTAGGGAAAACAGCTTTGTCTATAACTCACTGTGGCCTAGAGTTATGACACTAACTTGTATTGCGCCAATTAAGAAAGAGGCCAAACTGCATTCTTCTCAGAAGGTCATTCAGTTGATCAACGGCACTTAACTGATTTTTTTTTTCATATAACCTTTAACAAGAACTCATAAGTTGCATTGATTATGCCCCAAGAGATAAGGGAGCGATGGTAATTCAGATGGGCACCTCTGAAAAGGTTTATCAGTTTTCTGTCCCGTTCCAGCCAGATTGTTTGGAAAACCCTGGGGAAAGACTGAAATTCCCCACCAATCTGAGACTGTATGCGAGTTTTTACAACATTAATTGGATAAAACAAGAATCCCATCATGGCACCCAACAGACCTCCACAGATAAAATCATTGACCAAATGAGCACTGCGAGTCGTTGCGGTAGGCAGATACTCCTTGATGGGACCTCGAAGGCCGAAAAAAAAGACATTGCTGAGTCCATTCCGGAAAAGAATGGGCACCAAGCCTCGATAATACTCTCCAATTCCATGACATTTCAGTGCCTTGAAAGCCTGGTAAGTGTTGGCAAATCTGTCGTGATGCTTGTGGTCTTGAAGCAATGTCTGAACTCTTTCCAGCGGAGTGAAAATCGCTTCTGTAGTCCCTGAAAGCACTGCCGCCATGCCACGGGTCGCAAACTCTGGAGCACTGACATGCTGGCGGAGAAGGCAGGATAAATCCTCATACAGACCAAACATAAGTGTAAGCGAGGTTGTCTTCTGCATCAATGGGGGAAGCATTCCACGATACAAGTTTCGAAATCCATCTTTTCTCAACTGAAGTATTGCATTCCGGATTTTGATGCCATGCAGCTGTTGTCGAAAGAGGACCTTCTGAATGGGAAATGTGATTGCGATGCTGCTGAAGGCGGCACAGCAGCCACACAAGTAATGCTTCATTTCACCAACATTTGTAATATGAGGTGAGATATCTTGTTTTGAAGATGTTAGTATTGGTGGCCTCTTTTCATGAGCTTCTGAATCCATCATGTTGCTTAAGAGTTTTCTTTTTCAAGAACTTTTTAAAACCTGTAACACCATCTGAGCCTGGAGTTTGGCAGGATGATAGCTTTTTGATAATGTTCCCAGTTTCTTCCATTGTCATTGTTCCGCTAGGTTCTCTCTTCCGGAGTTGATTTTGGTAACTGAATTTCCGTTATCCAGGCGTCCATTTCCCCAACCTGTGAATAACGGGGAGGGGGTTGGACAAGATCACTAAGTCCTATTCCGTTTCTGACACTCCACAGTCAGGGGTCCCGCGGTGAGGAGGCCAAAATCCCAGTCTCCCAGGAGGCAGGGACCCCACTCTCCCCCGGGCTCACCGGCTCCTACTCGCCCCTGCGGTTCCTGCGCACGAGGGAGGTGCCTCCCCGGCCCAGGGCGCGCCCGAATGAAGGTACAGCCTCCTTCGGGAAAGGTCTAACACGAGCAGCCTAACACCCGCGTCAACCTGGAGAGCCGGGAGCCGACGACGGTGAGAACTGATTCCGCGCGCGCCGCTTGGGCGGGTCCCGCAGCGGCCGGGCCAGGGAAGTCTGCGCGCGCAGAGGATGGGGGTGGACCCCCAGGGTGACCGGCTACCCAGACTGGCCCTTCGGGGAGTTTCCCCTCCCTCCAACAACAGGCTAGGGGAGCCCGTGGCTTCCCCAACGCCCGCCCCGCACTCACCCATCCTAGTTAGGGTTTTCTAAAGGGATAGACCTAATTAGATAGATGTATATATATAAAGGGGAGTTTATTAAGATTATTAAGGAAGTGTTGGTCACTGTGGCGCTCCAGGTGGACATGGGACGATGTCGGTGGGGCTCTGGGGAATGTGGTGATGCAGGAGCTGTTGGACCCCAGCAGGATGCAGTCTTGTGGGGTCTGGGCTCTCAAAATGGTGCCATGCTGCAGCTGTCGGGGTCTCCGGGAAATGTGTGGGACCTCGCATGAGCTCCCTTTCTGGAGCAGTGTTCTAACACAGACTCCAGAGGGCTCTCTATACCAGTCTCAAGGCCCACTGCAGTTGAGGGGCTCTCTGGTGGTGGCTAGGATTGCAGGAGTTCATCATGGGAATGTGAAACTGCTGGAGAGCTCTCTCTGACCCTTCCCCTACACTGGGGAGCTGCTCAGGGCTTCCAGCTGATCCCAGTTGGGCTTTCCCACTTGCCTCCCCCTCTTTTCATACCTCAGGTGTTTTCTGTCACTTTTTTGCTGAATTCCAGCATTCTCTCTCTTAGACGCTCTGAAGGGTGATAATCCGTAGTTGCTATTTTGGTCCTTCTTTGTGGAGGAGGCTAGTGTCCAGTGCCTCTAGTCAGCCATCTCAAAGCCCCTCCTCTACAGTTTTATTTTCAATTTATCAATATTAACAAGTGGATCAATTGAATTCCCTTCTAAAAGGTGAAGAGTTCATCACATGTAAGTATCCTTCTTCCACTTCATGAAAATTGTTATTTATTTATTTTCATTTGGTATATATACTCACAATGGTATCTCTTATGAGTTATCTTCTTGTGCCACATGCAACATTTAAATCAAGCTACTTGTCATTTGAAGAACGCCTTTTGAATCAAAAATTATTTAAAATATTTAGAAGAGTTTTTAAATAGATTCATTCAGAATATATATAATATATATATAATATATATATTATATATAATATATTAATATAATATATATATTATATATAATATATTATATATAATATATATATTATATATAATATATATATTATATGATATATATTATATATGATATATAATAATATATATAGTATATTATATTATATATAATATATTATATATATTATATATATTATATAATATATATAATATATATATTATAATATATATATAATATATATATTATATTATATTATAATATATATATTATATATTATATATAATATATATATTATATATAATATAATATATATATTATATATAATATATTATATATATAATATATTATATATAATATATATAATATATTATATATATAATATATATATACTTTTTTTTTTTTTGAGACGGAGTTTTGCTCTTGTTACCCAGGCTGGAGTGCAATGGCATCATCTCGGCTCACCGCAACCTCCGCCTCCTGGGTTCAGGCAATTCTCCTGCCTCAGCCTCCTGAGTAGCTGGGATTACAGGCACATGCCACCATGCCCAGCTAATTTTTTGTATTTTTAGTAGAGACGGGGTTTCACCATGTTGACTAGGATGGTCTCGATCTCTTGACCTTGTGATCCACCTGCCTCGGCCTCCCAAAGTGCTGGGATTACAGGCTTGAGCCACCGCGCCCGGCCAGAAAATATTTATTAAGGATCTTGTAATGGGCTAAATGGTGTCTCTGTAATAGTCATATATTGAAGTCCACATCCCCAGTATGTCAGAAGACCACTGTATTTGGAGGCAAGGTTTTTACAGAGCGAATGAAGTTAAAATGAGGCTGGTAGGGTGAGCTTTGATTGAATATGACTGATGTCCTTATAAGAAGAGGAGGTTAGGACACAGACACACAGAGAGAAGACCATGTGAAGAGGGGAGACTGTCCCATCAATAAGCCAAGTAAAGAGGCCTCAGAAGAAGCCACTATGGGATGTCACAACACACCTCTTAGAATGGCTAAAAACATAAAAATAAAAAAAATCATAGTTTTGAATGTTGGCAGAGGTTTTGAGCAACCCGATTTTTCATACATTGACAGTACGAAAGTAAAATAGTGTAACTACTTTGGAAAACTCTTTTGTATTTACCTAAAAAGTTAACTATATACACCATACTACCTAGCAATCCATACTGGGCATTTATCCTAGAGAATGGAACTATGTTCAATTAAAAAATCTGCACACAAATGTTGATAGCAGTGATATGGTTTGGCTGTGTCCTCATCCAAATCTCATCTTGAGTTGTAACTCCCACAATTCCCAAATGTCATGGGAGTAACCGGTGGAAGGTGATTGAATTATGGGGGCGGGTCTTTCCCATGCTGTTCTTGTGTTAGTAAATAAGTCTTATGAAATCTGATGGCTTTAAAAAAATGAGAGTTTGGGCTGGATGCTGTGGCTCATGCCTGTAATCCCAGCACTTTGGGAGGCTAGGTGGGTGGATCACCTGAGGTCAGGAGTTCAAGATCAGCTTGGCCAACATGGTGAAAACCCATCTTTACTAAAAATACAAAAATTAGCTGAGTATGGTGGCAGGTGCCTGTAATCCCAGCTACTCAGGAGACTTAGGCAGGAGAATCACTTGAACCCAGGAGGTGGAGGTTGCAGTGAGCCCAGATTGCACCATTGCACTCCAGCTTGGGCAACAAGAGTGAGACTTCATCTAGGAAAAAAAAAAAAAATGAGAGTTTGCCTGCACAAGTCCTCTCTTGGCCTGCTGCCATCCACGTAACATGTGACTTGCTCCTCTCTGCCTTCCGTCATGATCATGAGGCCTCCCCAGCCATGTGGAACTGTGAGTTCTCTTACACCTCTTCCTCTTGTAAATTGCCTAGTCTTGGGAATTTTTTTTTTTGGTTTTGAAAATAAGATGTTTATTTCATATAACCAAGCCAGCAGTAAAGCAATTCTGAATGTGGTTAATTCAGGGGTCCTGGGATAGCAGCCAGGACCCAGGTTCTTTCTATCTCTTTATTCTCCTTTCCTTGGCATCTTTTTTTTTTTTTAATTTCATTGAGTTTTAGGTTTGGGGGTACATGTGAAGAACATGCAGGATTGTTGCATAGGTACATACCTGGCAATGTGGTTTGCTGCCTTCCTCCCCATCACCTATATCTGGCATTTCTCCCCATGTTATCCCTCCCCAACTCCCCACCCCCTGCTGTCCCTCCCCTAGTTGTCCCCCATAGACCTCAGTGTGTGATGCTCCCTCCCTGTGTCCACGCGTTTTCATTGTTCAACACCTGCCTATGAGTGAGAACATGCGATGTTTGATTTTCTGTTCTTGTGTCAGTTTGCTTAGAATAATGGTTTCCATGTTCATCCATGTCCCTACAAAGGACACAAACTCATCGTTTTTATGGCTGCATAGCATTCCATGGTGTATACGTGCCACATTTTCCCTTCCAGTCTATCATTGATGGGCATTTGGGTTGGTTCCAAGTCTTTGCTATTGTAAACAGTGCCGCAATGAACATTCGTGTGCACGTGTCCTCATAATAGAACGATTTAGAATCCTCTGGACATATACCCAGTAGTGGGATTGCCGAGTCAAATGGAATTTCTGTTTCTAGGTCCTTGAGGAATCGCCACACTGTCTTCCACAATGGTTGAACTAATTTACACTCCCACCAACAGTGTAAAAGTGTTCTTATTTCTCCACATCCTCTCCAGCATCTGTTGTCTCTGGATTTTTTAATGATCGCCATTCTAACTGGCATGAGATGGTATCTCAATGTAGTTTTGATTTGCATTTCTCTAATGACCAGTGATGATGAGCTTTTTTTCATGTGTTTATTGGTCTCATATATGTCTTATTTTGAAAGGTGTCTGTTCATATGCTTCACCCATATTGAATGTTTTTTTTTTTTTTTTTTTTTTTTTTTGTAAATTTGTTTTAGTTCTTTAGATTCTGCATGTTAGCCCTTTGTCAGATGGGTAGATTGCAAAAATTTTTTTCCCATTCTGTTGGTTGCTGTTTCACTCTAATGATAGTTTCTTTTGCTGTACAGAAGCTCTGGAGTTTAATTAGATCCCATTTGTCTATTTTCCTTTTGTTGCCAATGCTTTTGGTGTTTTAGTCATGAAGTTCTTGCCTATGCCTATGCCCTGAAAGGTCTTGCCTAGGTTTTCTTCTAGGGTTTTATGGTGTTGGGTCTTACGTTTAAGTCTTTAATCCATCTGGAAATGATTTTAGTGTAAGGTGTCAGGAAGGGGTCCAGTTTCTGCTTTCTGCACATGGCTAGCCAGTTTTCCCAACACCACTTATTAAACAGGGAATCCTTTCCCCATTGCTTGTTTTTGTGAGGTCTGTCAAAAATCAGATGGTTGTAGATGTGTGGTGTTGCCT